ATGGGATTCCACATTCCTGCAAACATAGTATGTCTACTTTTGCCCCATTCAATACTGGCATAATCTTATCCTACCTCTTCCTCAATAACACACTTCTGACATTTATACACAAAGTCATGTACATCCATTTAAATTTCACACAGGCATTGGTGCTTGGCACTCCACCACCCTGTGCCCTTCACATCTGTAGCATATTGTATATTGGCAGTATGCGGCCCAATAACATTTTTGCCCATACTTGGTACAGAGTTTAGGCTGTCCAAAATACATTGTAAACCTTCCATGTGGCCCTATCTGAATTACTGGTAGTAAGTGAATTATCCTACCAAGGCTCCTCCCATCCACCCTCATTACCACCGGAGCTCTCCACAATCCCGTCCATATACCATGTTTATCATGTATCTTCTCAACATACATAACTTTTTGTACATAATACTCTAACCCAGGGGTTCCAAACCTTTTTAGGCTGAGGACCAGCAAACTGCAGACTGGAAGTGACCGCGGACCGGCAAACTGAAGACCAGCAGTGACCGGCATACTGTGGCAGGTAGCCAACCCTTTTTTATACTCGGTATAAAAAAAGGTTGGCTGCCAGTCCACAGTAAGTTGGTCACTTCTAGTCCACGGTTTGCCAGTCTGCAGTTTGCTGGTCCACAGTCACTTCTGGTTCGGTAGCCAGTCCTCCTGTGGACTGGCAGCCAATTCTTTGCGGTCCAGCACTGGGCTACTGCCTGGGGGTTGCAAACTGCTACTCTAGCCATTTCTCTTTCTCCCCCATCACAGGCATATCCGTGTACATTTGAATAATTATTGTCCTTTTTCTTGTCTTTTCTCCCTCAATAAAATGTAGCGGTTCTTCAATTCATCTCTCTCACCTACTGCCTCATATGTCTTCCAAGAATCCTCATAACCGTCTTGGCTCCAATACGAAATTTCCCAAGACTTCTGGTTAGGAAAGGTGACCAGGTTATTCAAATGTTCTGCTTTAACATCCAAAACTTCAAATAATATTTTTCTAAAAATTAATATCTAGTCATTGTCTGAATTCTCTGTTGTCCTTCCCCTGTTACTACTGCCTTTATTCTAAGACATAGATTGCCTGCTGCTCCATCTCTCACTTCCTTCCATCTTCTTTCTCTTTGCAGATCTGGTTTATTCCACTAACTACTCTTCCTTTTCCCTTCAATTACTGTTTCATTCCTCATTTCTCCCTCCTGACCTCCTCTTCTCATTTTCTCCTGTTCTTTGTACTGACTGGACTCTTCCCTCATTGCTTTCTTCATTAAAGCCTCCTCCAACACCAGTAATCCCAGTATACCTTTCTTTCTTACTTTCTTTCATCCCTTCCTCCCCACCTTTGTCCATCCTCCATCAGACTCTCGATCTTCGCTTCTGCTCTCCAATTGGTTTATCATCTTTTGGTCAACTTCCCCTTTCATAACTGTCACTCTCATCTCCAACACTGTTGCTAATGCTGTTACAGGATCCAAGAACTCCTCCTCCTATTCCATCCCAATACTCTGTCACTACCCCCACCCCAGCACTTCTGGGATCAAGCTAAGCAGTATACCAGGCCTCCACTGTCAGTGGCATGGCTTCGCAGCCTACATTTGATCTTAGCCAAAGATGGCCACGAAGCCATGCCACTGATAGGAACTGACCCCAAAGACAGGTTAAGGCAGCCCAGCCAAATAACATATATGGTAATGCCCACTGTGCTCAGTCCCCCAAGCATCAACTCTTTTTCAAGTCATGGTGAGCCACTACCTTGCATACATTTTTACTCTGTTCACTCCCACAACTTAGCTGCACCTTTTTTCCATTTCCAATTATTCCTGTTTCTGCACCAGCTTTGAATGTCTGGAAAACATCACTAAATGGTGCCCCAAACAGGTCACTGGAAACCCTTCTGCTTCCCCCGCCCTCAGCCTGTTGCATAGGATTAGTATGGCCCTGCCCTCCATGACGTGGAGCCAGATTAGACTGCCCTGCACCTCATTTGCATATGCATTTTTGGAGTATCCAAGGACTCATGACAAGAACATCTGGCTCCAGTCATGTGTGTGGGGGGGCAGTTAGTACATAGAACATTTGGTGGGGATGGGGGTATCTGGATTACACACACATACTAAGCGATGCTGAGGTGTGGAGTCACCATGACTTGAAATGCTGTTGACTCTGTTGGGACCTGCCCAGACCAATGAGCTGTATGGTAAATCAAAAGCCTTTTAGCTTTGGACTATTTTTATGCATTGCTTCTTGGCCACACATGAGCCAAGATCAAGTGTCACCACTGCACTGGTTCGGTACCTGAGCCAAAATGGATTTAAATGGCATTGAGTGGTAGAGGGTGCACCCCTGTCCAAATGCACTGTGGACAGGATGCCAGCTTCCAGTAGGAAGATCTTGACTACATGCCTACTTTATGGAAATGGGGGGCTCCTCCCTAGCTTGCTCCTGTGGCCATTGGCTGACGGCAAGCAAGAGTTGGGGGCATCTGAACCCCAATCCTCCAGGCTTGGGCCTGCACACAGGATGCCTGCTGAAAGATTTGGAAGCATCTGAAACCCTGAGCTGAAAAGTCTGCGGTGGAGGATATTTGCTGGTTGCAGCACCACATATGGTGTTTGAATGAATGAGCTTTGCTCAATCAAAAGGATTTGAAACTAATCTGGCTAATTTGAACTGGAACACAAAAAAATTTCCCCCCAAAATTGTTTTTTAAATATATGTATGTATGTATGTATATTAGGTAAAAAAGAGTTGCTTAAAAGTGTGTTTATGGATTACCTCTGCTAAAACTTGAAGCAGTTTCAAAAAGTAAAATACTTTATCAATTCTGGATGAACAAAGTCTATGTGTACCCATAGTAATTTGCCTATGTGCAGCTTACTATATGCATGTCTATTTCAAAGTCAGTATTTTCAAATTTTCCTCTTCATTCTATGTGCTCAGGGACAGGAGGGTCTGATAGTAAGGGGGAGGAGAGGCTGTAGGGGAAAGGAGTTGGAGGGGCAGAAGGCAGGGAGGGCCACTTGACCCTTCCGGATTTATTTGCCCTTCTGTACCAGTGGGAGAGGGACAAATTCAAGGCAAACCTCCAATAATTAGATTCTATAACTGGAAAATTATAACAAACTAATACATTTTCCATATAGATAATCTAATTATTGTACAGTTCTTGTATATTCAGGGTCATCTTATATGTGAGTAAATATGGCGCTTTCATTACTTTAATTGCCTATACAGAGTCATTATTTAAATACTGTGTTATATTTTTAAAACCAACAATAATACAGTGCCTATATTATATGCATGTAAACTAAAGAAGTTCTAAAATCACAGAAAAGTAGGGCTAGAAGGGAACACAGGAAGTCATCTAGTTTAGCCCCCTGATCACTGCAGGATCATTTAACCATCCCAGACAATCTAAAATGTTCTTAAAAATTCCAAGGATAGAGAGTCCACAATCACTCAATACTTAACTACCTTTACAGGAGATGGCTTTTGCTAATAGCCAATCTAAACTTCCTTTGCTGTAGTTTAAGAGCCCATCTTGTTCCCTGAGACTACAGAGAATAGACTATCACCATACTCTTTACAGACACCCTTCATGTACTTTGAAGATTGTTATCAAATACTCCTCAGTCTTTTCTTCTCCAGACTATATAATCCCAATTGTTCCAATGTACTATCCTTGTAAATCATATTTCCTTGACCTGTAATATTTTTGTTGTTCACCACTGAATTCTACTTAATTTACCCAAGTGCAATGCCCCAAATTAGACACAATACTCCAAGGGCGGCCTCACCAGTTCCAAATATTCCTTGACTTGCAAACAACACAATAGCACTTTTATTAATACAGATCAGCCTATTGATTTTTTTTGTTCATTTGGTTTTTTTGTTTGTGTTTTTTGCAACAAGAGCACACTGTGGGTTTATTTTCATTTTATCATATACTATCAGCCCTGGGCTGGTTTCTATGGTACTGCAGTTTAGCCAGTCATTTCCAAGTCTGTATTTGGGCATGCAGTTGTTACATCCTTGCACCTGTCCTTACTGAATTTCATTAATTTAATTTAGGACCATTTCTCCAGTTCATCAAGGTCATTCTGAATCCTAATCTGAAATCCTATCAAAGCCTCTGCAGCACCGCTCAAATAGGTGCCATCTGCAAATTTACATTTTTAGATTACTTATGAGGTACTAATATACAGGAAAAAATCATGCGTTCATTTGTACTTGTGACTATCCAAGGAAGAGACTAGGTTTTCTTGGATACGAATTACAGCAGAATTTTCTTGTCTAGATACAAGACATAAAATGGGAATATTTCCATTGTGCATAAACAATGTGAAAAGGGAGATTCAACGTATAGTGCTATTGGCCGAGAGCTAGAAGCAGCTAGATGTTCCATAAACATTGACATTATATAGGAGAAGTTAAGTCACTCTCTACTTACATATCCCTCTACTTCTTCCCCAATATTACAGCCAAAAAGATTGCATTTCAGACTTCTTCCCACAACCCTACCTCTACCTTCTAAACCTGCTTTTCTTCAAATACCGCTTAGGAAGGCTTACTGGTTAGGGATGTTTTGCGAGGGGTGTGTTTCACTGGAACAGGTGGTAGGAAGTGATTGAAGGCTAGCAACTCCATGGGGAAAAGTTAAAGCCATAGCATGTGATCAGTGCTGAAAGACCAGAGAGAAAAGCCCTAAACTTTTAATGCCCACTTAAAGCCCATTTCCAAACTAAACATTAACTATAAAGCTCTGATTAGTACTCTGGAATTAAATTACAACTGAAAATATAAGGCCATAATACACATTTTCCACAGGCACTCTTAAATATGACTGATATTTCTGAAAGGCAATACATATTAAAAATAACCAACTTACATCATACATTAACAGCAATAAGTGTAAGTGTATAAATGGAAAAGATATATATATATATATTTATACAATTTAATGGCAAGAAAGCAAGATTACATACATTTCAGTAATGGTTTCTGGAAGATTGGTTGGGATATCAGTAAGGCCTTTCCCCCGACAGTCCACAATGTTGTTACTACAGGTACATGCAGTGGGACAATGCAAAACACTGCAGGAGGGAGCCATAAAAGACTGATGACCTGGAACACAGAACAGATTGTTGCTTCTAAAACTACAGAATACTATCAAATAGAAGTCCAGCTCATCCTAATAGCAAATTACATTCTTTTTCTCTCTTCTTTACAAAGACCAGGAATAATTCTTAGAACAAACATGGCACAAAAACAGACATAATGAGTTAATTTATTAAAACATCTAAATACTACGTACACTTTTAAACAACATTAACAACATTAAACAAATCAGATTAATTGCTTTAGTTCTTGAGTTCATTTTTTAGCTTCGCTAATAGCACATGTTCAAAATCAGCTTGTTGCTTTAAAATAACTGGACAAAACATTATGTACTGAAGATACTGTACAATATTAACTTAGATTTTCAAATGTAAAATTACTTCATTTTTAAACAGTATTATATGAAAATATTGTTAATGGTAACGAACAAACTGTGCTACCAGAAACAGACATGCCTAATTAGCTTGGTATATTCTATTGTGCAACCACACAATACAAAATTTCTTTTAATATATGTACACCTATTATGTTTTTTCATTTTTTTTCCTCAAAACTACACCCCTTTTTTTTTAACTCTAGAACTAAAAGACACTTTGGGTAAAATTGTGAAGTTATGCTTCAGTGAGGTTATATATTTGTTATTCCAGACTGAAAAGAAAGAAACCCTTCTAAAGCATCTTAATTTATGTAGTTGGAATTAAATAAGTAAATATTTTTCTAAGTTCTTTGTGCTATCTTTTATCAAGTGACCATGTGTATTTACTGCATTTAAGTTGAATAATTTCAGAGTCAGAAAAATAGATAAAAGTATGATTTATGTGCACTGTTAAAAATGTATAAATGGCACGTTCTCTAGTATAGCCAGTAAATCTAATTACTGTAGCTATTCAAATTCAGGATGGCAAAATATTTTCTTTTCCTTCCCTTTTTGTTTAAAACAAAATAATATAAATCTGTTAAAAAATTCCTGACCCACTTTTGCATCACAAATCTAAATTTGAAGATCTCCATGTCTATTGTATAATGTTATACTGTAACCTAGAGTCCTTGGTTGTAGCTGTGTTGGTCTAAGAACATAGGCAGACAAAGTTCTTTGGGTAAATGTGGTATCTTTTATTAGACCAAGTAAATAGTTGGAAAAAATATTTCTTGCAAGCTTTTGGGTACAAACACTGTTCTTCAGGCACAGGGAGAGTTAGCTGTTGCTTTATGTGTTCTCCTGAGTGAAATGGAAACCAGTATGCAAAATGCAGGTCTGTGGAAATGCAAGTACGTAGCAGTGAGGATCAAAGACCCTGAGAGAAAACAGGTGTGAGATAGGTAGCTGGAGTGGCAAGGACAAGGTGCAGAGAAGGGGAGGGGGAATTTGAAGTGGTAATAGAAAGTGGTATAATGCAGACAGGTTACCTGAGGTTATTGGATGTCAGGCAGGTTATCATGTGCCATAAATTCAATGTCTACATTTAGTCCATGATTTTTTGTATCCAGTTGATTTATGAAGTAAAGTTCATAGGCTTGTCTACAAAAGGTGTTTTTTAAATTCCCTTTAAGGATTAGAACTGAGAGATAGGGGAGAGATTTGTGATCTTCTGAGAAGTGTGCACCTATAAGTAGTTGGGTATTTTTGTCTTTGATAGACTTTTGGTGTGTGTTTATTCTGGTGCACAGCTGTTGTT